CTGCACCGACGCACAGAAGTAACAAAATGCTCTGTTCTTCTGTCGTCTGACACGGAGAGGACAAAAAAATAAAGAAAACAAAGCAGCAGGTTAGAACAGGAAAATGAACACATTCCTGGCACACTTTTCTATCCACATTACCAACAAGTAATAACAAAGAAGAAAAAGCTCCTCAGACTCATGGTTGCTCACCTCAGACACTTATCACAGTCCTGCCAAACGACAAAGAGGAATTCATGAGAAAATATTTCACTCTAGCCGTTCGTGTAATACGCAGTTTATCACATAAACATGGAGTGGATTTTATAGTATTACATGAGAGACGGAAGAACATCTAAGTGTTCTGATCAGTATAATAAATCATGTGATTATCGGTCGTACCATGGCCAAGTTGCACGGCTGCTTTGCGACATCAACGTGCTCTCTGTTGGCTCGGTTCTGTTTCTCTCGCTCCTTGCGGTTCTCAGCCTTCTTGCGAGCTCCCGTCTTCTTCTTCGGCATTGTGGATGTGAGTAAGTGCTCTAGTACACAGCTACAGAGACAGAACACGGTAAGAGCCTAGAAAACCTTAGAGTACACCAGTTTATTAGGTACACATTCCTTATACACACACACAGGCTCTAATATTACTCAAACCTGACATCACAGTGTGTGTGTGTGTGTGTGTGTGTGTGTGTGTGTGTGTGTGTTAGGGGTTACACAGAGTAGTTGACTAACACACTGACTAGTCAGGTTGGTGAACAAAACAGCGATAAAGAAAGCCGGCTAAATGTACTTTCAGAGTAGAGATTTTTTTTTAAAGCTGTCTTTTTATTGATTTTTTCCCCCCTGAGTTTCTTTTCTTTTTGTTTTTCCTGGTTAATTTACTTTTTTTCTGTTTTTTATTTATTTATTTATGTATGTATTGCTGTTAAATTCCTTTTTTTTAATTCTGAGTTTTTCTTTTGCAGTTGAATCCATTTTATGAAGGCTTTTTTAATGATTAAATTCTCATTTTTCTCTAAGTTTTTGTGTGTGTGTGTGTGTGTGTGTGTGTGTGTGTGGTTAAGCTTTTTTAATTTTTTTTTTTTTGTGGTGGTGGTTAAAATGTTTTTAATGAGTTTGTGTGGTTAAATCCCTTTTTTCTTATTCGTTGTGGTTAAAGTCCTTTTTTCTGACTTGTTTTTAATTGAAATTCCTTTGGGTTTTTTGTAAAGTTCTTTTTTTTTCATAGGTTTTTGTTTTATGGTTATTTTTCTCTTAAATCCCCCTTTTTTCTGATTTCTACAGTTAACAGCACATTTCGTAAGACTACAACAAGTCTTTTTTTTAATTTTAGTTTGCTTTAATGGAAAGTTATCACTTTCTGTGAAGTGTAGAGGTGTGCACGGGGCTGTGTTTTGATCCCACTCCTATCTGCTCCTGAAGGAGTTCCTCGCGTGGTTATCTTTATCCTTTAAAGCTAAATAAATTTGAAATAAAATCCTGGCACTGTGGCAGACTGAATTCTGACGTGACCAGTGGTGTGTGGAAGAGCCGCTGCGCTTTCCGAACCGCGGGTTGCACGATCCGATCTCACTCAGCGAGGTTAGAGCGGCTTCTTAGACGAAAATCCAGCCTCATTTTTGTAGGCTGGAGTTGAACATGGTACAAAAACCTCCCTGACTTTTCTCTAGACAGCATCCTCAATCCATGGAAGGAAGAGCATTGAGATATAAGCAGACATGAGCTTCCATGCTGCGTGCTCTCAGTTCCAGAATCAGTGATTTCAGCTGAGCTACACCAGCTCATCCACAGGAGTGCTGTTTAGGATTTTCCTACATTTCTTTATTTTAGCAGGTTTATTATACCGAATATTTATTTATTTTTGCTGCTGTTTATCATTTAAGTGAACTAATATAAGCCTAAAAAAAGTGATGTCCTGAATCACTTTGTGCTTTAACTATGGAAGAGACGGCTAGTTGGCTAGGTTTTATTATTATTATTATTATTACTACTATTACTGCACTTGTATGGTATAAGTGTAGAGTTAGACACTAAAGCTCATCATGATTTCTCTGCATAATCTGTAGATTAATCCCCCAAACTTCCCTCAGTGAGGGTTTCTGTCCACAGGGATGTTGTTGGTTGAATATGATGAGCTGGTAAACTGTTCATCACCTGAGCAGAGACATTGAGGAAGCTGAAACACCGTGTACAGCAACAGATGAGTTATAATCAGCCATTGTGTGTGTGTGTATATATGCATGCGCGCGCGCACACGCACACACACACACACACACACACACACACACACACACACACACACACACACACACACACACACTTCATAAGAATGACTGATTTCTAGTTCTTGGTTTATATAAAGGATTGTTAACTGACTTTCAGGCGCGTGGAGCAGCTGCGCTTTCTACAATAACACCATCACACAGTGAAGTAATGTGTGCTTCCGTTTCCGCTCTAACACACTCAATAATAATAATAACAAAAATAATAATAATAATAGATAAACTATAACAAACATACCACACTTAACTGTCTTTCCGCACGGCTTGCTGGCTGAGCTCAGACCGGAAGTTCCGCTAGCAGCTGATCTACAGGTCCGCCCTCGATATCGCTCCGTTCTGGAAACTAACGCTACTAATATCAGTTCCGCACAGTGCAAGTAGCAAAATATTGTCTCAAATTACATTTATTGATAATAAAAATAACAACTAATCAGACTAATCAGAATCTGATTTGTCCAAAATACTATTTACGTAAATATTAACTGAATTTGATCCAAATTACAGACATTCTCTCTCTAGCAACAGGAAAATAAGACCTCTTGCACGACATAAACTTTGTTCCATGTTTATCAGAGTTTTAGAACGTATATATTATCCACTAAATTGGAGACAGAATTATATAAAAATAATTTCTGCAGCATTTAAACGGAGCTACCTAGCAGTGACGAAACAGACGCTCCACGCGCTCTGTTGCTGAGCAGGTTGCCATGGTTTCACAAAACCCCTCTGTATGACAACTCCACTGTCCTGCTTTTATTTTATTTTATTTTATTTATTTATTTTTTAAATAAGAACTTTATTGAAAATCAGACAACAGGTGAACAACTTGTGCATACCATACAAAATCAGTAGATGAAAATTAAAGAAGTAATAAGAAAATAACCCAAATACATAATAACAATAATAATAATAATAATAATAATAATAATAATAATAATAATAATAATAATAGTAAAGAGTTAAACAAATATCTTGTAAAGCTTAAAATAACTATAAGTTTTAACAGCTTTTTTGTTAGAACATTCAGAGATTGAAGAAACGAATTGTTTGAGATTTATTGATAGTTCTAACAAGATAGGTTTTTTGTTGGTGAATTTTGATTTATGAATGTAAAATTTGGTTAAAATAATAATCAAATTGATCAAATAAAATTGACAGCTGACCTTTCTGTCATATTCAGTGAAGCCAAACAATACATTTCTCCAAAGTAACACAAAACTGCACTGCACTAACTGCCATTGTTAGCTACTGCAAAATGTCCACACGTCCGCCATATTGGAAAGGTCCATAGCCAAGCATCTGAAACTATTTAGCCTGAGAAAACTAGCTGTAACTCTCTTTATGTTTAAATGATTTTCACAACATTTGCTTTACTACAGAGATCAGACATTTTTATGTACACATTCTAAACATATATGCATTTTGACATTTTAATTCATCCTAATGTCTGGAAACAGTTAGCAACACTGTGATATATATGTGATATATAGGCTAATACACAACTGGATAGCAGTAATCATGGACCAGAATAAGAGCTGTCAGTCTTGAGTATGCAATCTCAATTAATTCACATAAAAAAGTAAAAAATAACAAATAACAAACCTTCACCAATTCCTATCTTTTATTAAACAAAAACACACATTTTCAGACCTTTCACCTGTGAAAAGTGATTTCTTTGCTCTCTCTCTCTCTCTCTCTCTCTCTCTCTCTCTCTCTCGCTCTCTCTCTCCCCATTTCAGGAGTCAGCAGTTCTTAGATCTAAATGCTTCATATTCAATACTTTATTCGCAATGGTCAGATAATGCGTTCTACACAAATACAAATACAGATACGAATAAGAAGGGCACTATTTTTTCCCCACTCTTTCAAAGGGCATCAGGACAGAGGTGCGCATCAGGACTGAGATCCTGCTGGACACAACCATAAAGCTGTGCGAGTTTTTTACTTTCATGCAAGTGTGAGTGAGCGGTCAGATATGAAGCTCATTGGACAAAGGAAGACCATGTTCAGTAACCTGCATCATTTACAGCATCATTCATCCTTAGTAACTGCCTGGTCAGGGTTTAAATTAGCCCACTAGTTTATATGGTGGGAAATAGAGCCAACTTAAATTGTTATATTGTGGGTAGGTAAAAACAAAAATAATACCTGTGTGGGTTAGTAACACAGTCCCACACTCGTCTATAAAAATACATATATTTAATTAAAATAAACTTCCCATTTATGGTTCACTTCAGGTTTATATTCAAATACAGGTACAGATATTTGAAGCACTAAACAGATACAGATTCAAAGCATTGCGTTAAACCCGTACGGCCTTAATGCGGCATTCATTCTGAATTCCTACTCAGTTTGTCAGAGTTTGTCGAGAGCTCGGCTTCTGCGAGTAGCGATTCAGTGACATCACTTCAACATGGCAGCGCTCATAGTGAAAAGTAAGAACAAGAAATAACGGTGTGATTTAAGGTGTTTTGAGTCCTTTGAGTTTCTGTTTATATGTGAAATTGCTGAATACTAAGTGATATGATCATCCATAGCTCTTATCCCATGCAGGGTCACAGGGGAGCCTGGAACATGGGGAACAGGACAGGGTATACAATTGCACACACACACACACACACACACACACACTAAGGACAATTTAGAGATGCCAATCAGCCTACAGTGCATGTATTTGGACTGTTGGAGGAAACCCCTGAAGAATGGGGTTAATATGCAAACTCTGCTCCCACAGAGCAGAGGCAGGATTTGAACCCCCAACCCTGGAGGTATGAGATAAAGGTACTAACCACTAAACCACCATGCACCCCTGTGATATGATCACTGAAATGTTAATTTGCTTTCTGCAGGATTTTTTTGCTCAGACTGCTCTTTTAGGTAATGTTCAGTGACTTATCACGTCCATTAAAAAAAATAAAAAATTAACCAGCAACCAAACAACTCCAATTTCAATTCTTTTTTTTTTTTTCTTTTTTTTTTTTTGTAGTTGAATGCTCTAGTGTGTGAAGTAGGGGGTTCGTGAACGCGGCTGTAGTTAACTCAACTTGTTAAAAGTTGCCCCTACCAACATGGCGGCGCCGTTGACGTGTTAGTTTAGCCGGCAGCGCGTGCATAGTAACTGCAATACCTGGCAACAATCAGCTGTAGTTCAGTCACAACAATAGTGTGGGCAGAGCGAGTCGGGCTTTCTGTCATAAACTGCTGGAACCCTAGCGTGTTTAATAACAGATATTTTCCAGCCAGAAGAAGAGGTAATATTAATTTCAGTGACTCGGCGGTTTTGCGCGCTGGGAGGCCGGGAGGCTCGCTGGGAGGCTCGGTTAGCTAGCCGGCTGGGGTGCGCTGATCCGGGGAGACCGAGCGCAGCAGTAAACATGCCCATGTCAGTGAGTAAAGCGTGCCGGAGTCTGGCTCTCTCCACCTGGCTGCTCTCCTTCTGTTTCGTGCACTTGCTGTGTCTGGACTTCACCGTGGCCGAGAAGGAGGAGTGGTACACCGCATTCGTTAACATCAGCTACCAGGACCCGGCCACCGCCGAGCTGAAGACGGAGAAGACAGAGAGCGGCCGCTACGGCGAGCACTCGCCCAAAAGAGAGGCCCGGGGCCCGGTGTTCATCCCGCTGCCCGGCCACGACCGACAGGCCTGCGACTCCAGCAGCAGGTTCCCCAGTCCTCAGCCTGCACACGGGCCCTGGATAGCGCTCATAGCCAAAGGCAACTGCACATACAGAGAGAAAATCCGCCACGCAGCGAGCCTCAACGCCTCCGCTGTGGTCATCTATAACGTGGGGTCGAGTAACCCGAATGAAACCATCACCATGCCTCATGCAGGTAAGACTTCAGCCTCTGTCTGCTCACCTGCGCTGTGTCCCGAGGCCTGGCTCATGGACCCAGGGTCAGTGAGCTGTGTCAGTCCTGCATGTGATGATACTTTAAGTTATTAAAGTATTTAAGTTATTATCAGTTTATCAGTTTATTAGTGTACATTTACTGACCGGAAGTCCATCTATCACAGTCCGTGTGCCAGAGTCTGTCCACCACGGACCCTCTGTCTCTGTCCCTGTATCAGAGCCCATCTGTCACAGCCCCTATGCCAGGTCCCTCTGTCACAGCCGCTATGCCAGGTTCCTATGTGACAGGTCCCTATGTCACAGCTCCTAGGACAGGTCCCTATGTCACAGCTCCTGTGTCACAGCCCGTATGTCACATTCCTGAAATCACAGCCCCTATATCCTATTCCTGAAGTCACAGCCCTTATGTCACAGCCCTTATGTCACAGCCCCTATGTCACAGCCCCTATGTCCTATTCCTGAAGTCACAGCCCTTATGTCACAGCCCTTATGTCACAGCCCCTATGTCACAGCCCCTATGTCCTATTCCTGAAGTCACAGCCCCTATGTCCTATTCCTGAAGTCACAGCCCCTATGTCCTATTCCTGAAGTCACAGCCCCTATGTCCTATTCCTGAAGTCACAGCCCCTATGTCACAGCCCCTATATCCTATTCCTGAAGTCACAGCCCCTATGTCACAGCCCCTATGTCCTATTCCTGAAGTCACAGCCCCTAAGTCACACTCACTATGTCACAAATAGGCCAAAAAGTGACCTGTTTGGTAGTTGTACCTGATTAAACATGGTCAGTGAGTGTATATGAGCTTTGTCATGGGGCATAGATATGCTTTTGCATAGATATACAGGCTGTAATAGATGGATGCACTTTATTGATTCCTGAAGGGGTTCGCAGGAACATCAGCCAACATTAATCGCACAATGAACAATCACACACAAACGAAAAGAAACACAAGTGCAATACATTAAAGTTGTGGTACTCACATTTCCACTCAGAGGTTATTAAATCATATCCTAAGTTAAATAACTCAAGTCCAGTGTGTGTGAAAGATTTTAGTCATCTGGGTCATGCTGAATGTCTCTCAGTGGTAAGCCAAGAGACATTTAATCTTGGAGTTTTCTCCACATGTATGATTTTTTTCACCACATATCTAATCTCTACTGAATGGTGAGAAATTCACTGGCATTTCCAAAGCATGCATGAGTCACGCTCCTGACATTATGATTCTGACACGACTCTGAGTCCAATTAGAAGGTTTTCGGAGCTCTTGGAACCAGAAGCTGTGCCGTCGCTCTCGCACAGAGACTGAGTTTCACTCCTGCCTGGATGACACTGAGTCTGATCAGTAACCCAATGTGTAAAACCCGTTTTAATACTTGTTGCTCTCACCATTTCCGCTTGGGGGAGTTCCTGATGCTATCACGTACCATGCCGTTATAGTATGAGCTAATGTGAAGTGTGTTGACTGGAGCGAGGGATCGACTTGGAGAGCAGAAGCAGCACGGCTTAAGACTCTAAAACCGAAATCATTGCAATCTGAAGAAATTTAATAGAAGTTCCAGAGCAGAAATTCCTTTGACATCATTTGAAATTTTAAAAAAATATTATACATTTGGTTTCCAACAATTGAGTCTCAAACTGGCGTTCAAACCCTTCGTGCATGTTTACGCTTACTACCGAGAATGTAATGTATTAAATTAGGCTCCACACTATCCCATTCTCAACAGTAAGATTACAGGGTGAAGAGGTGAAGAAGGTACAGGAGTTTAAGTACTTGGGGTCAACAGTCCAGAGTGTGGGAAAGAGGTAAAGAAGCGAGCTCAGGCAGGTTGGAATGGGTGGAGAAAGGTGTCGGGAGTTCTGTGTGATAGAAAAATATCAGCGAGAATCAAGGGGAAGGTGTACGAGACG